CCAAGAGAATAATGGGTGAAATAAGCCTAAGTATCGTGTTAAAACTTGTATTCTGCCCACGTACTACCCTTCGCGATCGCGGGCCAAAGAATCACTATCGTGAAGCACAAACAAGATTTTTCCACAGACTTCCTCTCCGTGAACGCGATGAAGACCCCTCGAACGCAAGGGCTNAAAAAAAAAACATTTCCTCTTCCGCGATCACAAAATCCTCCACGCGATTGCGTAGGACAATTGCCTCCCCTGGCCCTCGCCCCTAACACATCATATTCGAAACCCTAACTACGCGAACACGAAGCACTGTCAGACCCCACTCCTCGATCACGATGCCCACTCTGCGATCGGGTAAAACAAATCTTCCACAGCCCCACACACCCTTTCGTGATATTGAAACTTTCTCCGCAATCGCGATTCACACGAGACATCATCAACATCTGCCAACTTCAATGTTGCTCCGGGTGGTCCGATATTTACCCAAGCCACCCTGGACCCCATCCAAATATACCAACAAGTCCATAAACATAGTCGGACCTACTCGTAGTCTTGAAACACATAAAATAACATCAAAACCAAAATTCACACCTCAAAACCAAATTTATCAACTTCTAAAGTTGAAACTTCTTCCAACTAACTCCGAACGCGATGAATCATACTTAGACAACTCGGAATGACATCAAATTTCACACACAAATACAATATAACGATATTAACCTAATCCTAGGCTCAAAATGCCAAATGAGATCAGATAACACCAAAGTATACTTAAAGTATAACTTAAAAAACTCTAAAACTTTCAAAATGTCAATTTCTGACAATAAACGCCGAAATACATCCGGTCCACCCGAAACTCGATCCGAACATATGACCAAGTCTAAAATTACCATACGTACCTATTGAAACCTTCAAATCACAATTCCGTGGTTGTTTACTCAAAGTGTTGACTCAAGTCAAACTTTTCATCTTAGGCCACTATTGTAGAACTAAGTGTTCCGAATTTAATCCGAATCCTTCCAAAACTAAACCAACTGCCTCTGCAAGTCATAAAATAGGAAAAACACATACGGGAAGTCTTGAATAGGAAAATGGTGATCTAGAAAGCAAAATGAGCGATCGGGTCATTACATGTGGCCTTCCTCTCAGTGTATCAAACTTGGATTTCAGAGTCTATATATACCTTGAACCAGACGGGTTCTAGATTCATACACCAATTGCCATAATTAAGTGAGAAGCAGAGAGGAAAACTTGAAAAGGAAAGGGAATCCATAATTGGATGATAAAACGAAAGGGGAAAAGGGGAATTCTCTTAAGGCAACTAGGTTTTGGGTGGAAAGGGGCTAGGGTTAGACATTGAAAGAAGGAGACAAGAGAGGCAGAGGATGAGTGAGATTGTGGTTAGGGTTTTGTGAGGGCTTATATTTGAAGAGGGATGAGGAATTGTGGTAGTTGGATCAAAAGGAACGGATGGTAGGGATTAAAGGGATTGACATGGTCGGGTCGAGTGGATCACCGACCGGGTCAAACAAGTACTAAGTTTTTAGTCATTTGGATTAGACTCAGGGGTTATTGGGCTTGGCTATTTGGTTAAGTTGGTCCGAAATTCAGCCTTCTTATTGGGTTGATTTTGGAAAATATGTAATTAAGTGCAGATAATTTATAAAAAAATATTAAATTTATATAAAAATGTTATTTTATAGAATTAAAAACTTAATATGGTAAGTTAAGACTATAAACAAATAAATAATTATGACCAAGAAAATATAATAAATATATTAATTATGAAAAATATTGGCTATTATCGTAAATATCACAAAAATGGTACAAAAATATGATAAAATAAAAAAAATCTATTTTAGGAATTAAATAATGTGCATAGAGAAAACTAAAAAAATTAGTTATGATAGAAAAATATGAAAATATATAATTAATTATAATGGGATAGGATAATATTTTAAAAATATTAAAATAATATAAATTTTGGGGAAATGATATTTAAAATACTACGAAATATTTATGAAATACTTTAAACATAAAAGATCCAAACAATGAATTATTCAACAATACTAGGTACTAAATCAATCAATTCCTTACCAAATACTTACAAAGAAGTAAAGAAATAATTTGTATATTAATCTACTAATTAAATTTAAAAAAGCTAAGAAGTAATAGTAATTATAATAAATTACTATTTTAAACATGTTACATGCAACATAAATAACAACAACAACAACAACAAACTTAGTATAATCCCACATAGAATAATACTTTAAAAATATTATAAAATATATATAGCCCAAAGAAGCTGATATGATTTTAGGAGGACAAAATTGAGTATCAACAAGTACAACCGACCCAATATAATTCTTAAGTGTCGAGTCTAACCCCGATAAGGTAGTGAAGAGGCTAAGACAAAATACCCACTATACAAACCTGTGCAGTTATATAACGAGAAAAAAATATAGCAATTAAGATATCGAAGGAAGATAGCAAGCAAGATAGCAAAATAGGTAACAAGGGATATGACAAGTGTAATAACAAATAATAAGTACAATAATAATAATAATAATAATACTAATAATAATAATAAATAATAAAAAAAAAAAAAGCAACTAAGGAAGATAATAACTAAAATTTCAAATATCACCGAACAAGGCTCTCACAAAAAAGCACAAGTCCATGAAATTGGCAAAGCAACCATGAAACAATGTAGCCAAGTTCTCAATCCGCATAATAAATAGCAAGAAAGTAGAGATATCAAAAAAATAGCACAACATCACCCTCCTTGCTTTTACTCTCATCCTCACAAGCACAGAAACAACCTTCGTGCATATTCACTCTTCCCTACAAGCACGCAAACACCCTTCATACAATAGTAAATATATAAAGAAGCAAAGAAACACCCTTCGTGCATAATCACTCTTCCTCACAAGTACGGGAACATCTTTCGTGCAAACAGTACCAAGTAAGATAGAAAGTACAAACAATGTCAAGAAGAGTGATTGAACATAACTTGCCATATAAAAAATAGCCACCACTCGCACCAATAGCCAAAATAATACTTCAATAGTCTTACTACCCAATATCACAACAAGCTCAACACAACCATTGACATAAATAAAAATAGTCAAAGAGATTCACAACACGAGGCAATAAGATGTAAATAAGCAAGTTCTAGCCACATGCTTAACTCGTAGCAAATGCATATACACTTGTTACGTTGTATATGCACCGCTCCCAACACATATTGTACATAGAAATTAAGCACAATTATATTTTAATTCCCTCAAATCAAGATTAACCAAGACACTTACATCTTTCCGGCATAAATCAATCCTCCAATACTGCTTTTACTTTAGCACAAGCCTCCAAACCACTCGAATCTAGAAAATTAATACTCAAATAAAACAAAACAAGTTTTAGAAACTACCCTAGTATCAAACAAGTTTTATCTTTAACATATTTGAAAAAGTCAACACCGGGCCAAACATGGTCGAAATTCGAAATTAAACCAAATTCCGATTATCCATTCACCCCCAAAATATGTGATTTATTTCGAGATCCGACCTCAAATTGAGGTTTAAATCTCGAAAATAAAAAAACCCTAAATTTCTACCCAAAATCTCTATTTCTACCCTATGAAATCTTAGATTTAAGGATGAAACTCTATGAAAAATAATAATTAATCAAAAACAAGTTAAAATTACTAATCCTTGAAGTAAAGAAAATTCTCTTCAAAAATCGTCTCCCACAAAGTCTAAGTCCCAAAAATAGAATAAAATAAGCAAATCCCGAAATCTCAACCCAAGAAACTCCGAATCTCTGTAGCTGAAGTGGGTATGGGCCAATTATAAATTGCCTGAATCTTCTTAGGATCAACCTTACAACAAGACACAACATGACCCAAGAATGCAACTGAGTCCAACCATAACTCATACTTTGAAAACTTAGCATAAAGCCGACGATCTTTCAAAGTCTGAAGTACAATGCGTAGGTGCTGCTCATGTTCCCCTCTATTACGAGAGTAAACCAGATTATTCTCAATGAACACTATCACGAACGAATCAAAATAAGACTTGAACACTCGATCATCAAATCCATGAAAAGCCGTTGTAGTATTGGTCAAATCAAACAACATCACCAAGAACTCATAATGACCATAGCGAGTCCTAAAAGTTATCATAGGGACATCCGAAGCCCTAATCTTCACCTGATAATAGTAAGATCTCACATGGATACTTGGTCTTGATTGTAATCTTGTTCAACCGCTGATAATCAATGCAACTTCTCATATAACTATCCTTCTTCCTCACAAATAATACTAGCGCATCCCAATGTGAAATACTCGGTCTAATGAATCCTTTATCAAACAAATGTTGCAACTGCTCCTTCAATTCCTTTAACTCAGCCGGAGCCATACGGTATGGTGGAATAGAAATAGGCTGAGTACCCGAAGCCAAATCAATACAAAAGTCAATATCCCGATCAGGCGGCATGCTAGGTAAATCGACATGAAACAACTCTTGGAACTCCCTCACTATCAGTGCTAAATCCATAGAAAAAAACTTCCGTACTAGAATCTCGAATGTAATCCAAATATGCCAAATACTCCTTCTCGACCATACATCGAGCCTTAAAAAATAAAACCACCATACTCATGGAATGGCCAAGGGTCACTCTCCACTCTAACCTAGGCAACTCTAGCATATAAGGTCACAGTCTTGGCATAATAATTCAAGATAGCATGATATATACAGCCAATTTTTTAAGTCTATTGCAACGGTTTTTGTAATATATTGGAACAATTATCAATACCCTATTGCAACGGATATTATAACATATTGTAACGGCTATTAGGGGCTGCTCTTATTATTTGTTAGGTCTATCGGAACGGTTATATTCTCTATTGCAACAAATTATAATTTCTGATATTTATGGAAGCAAAATGAGAAATATTTTCCTATTCTATGAAATTGTTTACACCATATCTTATATAAACCACGAAATAAAATTAAAATATCCAACTAGCATTATCCATATACAAAAACAAAATATGAATACATTGTTTGATCAACAATTCAAAAGTCAAAATAGATGAGTTTGCATACAAAAAGTTCTAAAACTAAAATATCCTTGAACATAATAATAGAAAGTCTAACAACGATCAACAATACTCAATTAAGGTCTCCGTCACTGCTTTCATCCGCAATCGTTGCACCTACAAAAGATAATGAGAAATAATTAAACAAAATTTTGAGGATAATTGAATCACAAAGTAATTGAATGACCAATTTGATAACTCGAAAATTTTCAAACTCTCAAAAATCTTTGATTTTTCAGCAAAGTTTCCTTTGTAAATATGACTATCCCAAAATTTTCAACCTGCTCAAAACATCATTTGTAAATACGACTATTCCAAATTTTTCATCCTGCTCAAAACATGATACAATTTTCATGCAGAACCTAAGATCCATCCACAAATCACAAGATGAGTAGCTATACTTTAAGCAACATACAACAAACCAGAATCTGCAACAGACAAACCAAAGCAAACAACTCTCCGGTCTTTTTTTTTTAAGTAATACAATCTGCCTTAACATCTTCGAACATTATTACATCACAAAACAACATCACCTAAACAATATTAAGTCTGACGGCTATTGAACCAAAACAACAGAAGAATATGCTATTACGAAAAACAACATTACAACCAACAATTGAACATACTACGGCTCAGAAACAAGCAATACTTGAACATGGTTAGATTTATAAAGTTTCTCACAAGCCCTCAGTGTATGTCACACCAGTAGATTTTAACAAATAGTGGCTATTAGATTTAGCAAGAACAATGAATTTTTTTAAGTTAATGACGTGCCACAATCTTATCAGTGTGTACCATAAAAAGTAATGCAAATACTTGAAAATTAAGATCAGCAGAAGAATGTTAGAAGATCAGCATTATATGAAGAAGAGAAGACTTAGAAAGAAGAACCGAAGGTAAAAAAAAAATTCGCCGACATTTCAATGCTATTTGGACGCTGAAACAGTGAAAGAAGAAGAAGAAGAAAAGAAAGAAGGAAGAAATCATTGCATACCTGTTGCCGCTGAATCTCTGTTGAAGAAGAAGAAGCGCACGCTTTTGTCTAACTGAGTCGCTTCATATAACAGAAGCGGGTAAGTGGTCGCTACGCTTCACTTCTCGCTTTTCACAACCCTGGCATAAACACACGCGTCATATATTCTAAGGTCAAGATTATGGCAAACTCTTTTGCATGTCAAACTTTTAAATGTATTGTGGATAAGGAAACAGAAGTGGAAGAAACACATGTACTAATTTCACAGTTGAGAATGGTGTACTGGAGCTTTATCAATATTTTTATTTAAAAATGCATCTAATGGTATAGCTCTCAAGAGATGTTGGCAGAATCAATGATATTCATATAAATATATCTGTTTGTCCTAGCTTTTCATCAGAAATTGATTAATGTCTCCATACACAAGGAGATGTACAATTGACATATAAAAAGGTGTATATACATAGCTTAAGCACCTTCTGCTGTTAGCTTTGCTTTTAAGCACAACTTGATATGTATTGTGTCATCTGAAAGATGATTTAGTTAAGTTCATTTCTTTTTTACCCTCTACTAGAAGCTGTATTCTTAGAACTACAAATCTCTGGGTTGAATGATCAACAAATAACCTATAAGTTCAGAAAGCCTTGTCCGTAAAGTGGCAATCCTAATAATATCACGAAGCTTTTTGCTGGGCAAACATAGGGGATTATTCTTTAGGTTCCAAATTAATATGATATTATCTTAGGTACAAAGCATAGCAAAATAATATGTATGGCAACCTTATGATTCCTTAATCTCTTTCCCAGCAAACTGCCAGTATCTTTTTTTATGTCTAAGTACCTATATTCATCTGGTATATCTAATTTAAACAGCATGTATGAAGATGCAAGAAAATCAATTGAGCTGTATTAAACCGGCGACTCTAAGTTGTATGAGTTACTACTTCTATTTCTGGTTTTCTACCTTTTTGGTTTCTTCTACAAATTTGCCAAAATTAAGCATTTAACATAGAAAGGGAACCAGCTTATTGCCTAATGCATGCCTATCCAATATATATGTGTGTGTGTGTGTGTGTGTGTGTGTGTGTGTGTGTGTGAGAGAGAGAGAGAGAGAGAGAGAGAGAGAGAGAGAGAGAGAGAACAAGCAGGATCTGAATATATACTCTTAAGACAATGATATACATACCATACCATATACTATCACTCATGCACATCTAATAACCCTTTATAATTATAAAGTCACAAATGCCAATTCTAATAAATGAGCAGAATCTTGTTTAGAAGATGTATTGA